AAAAAGTAAAGCTTTGGAATTAATGTAATCTATAATCTTTGAAAACAAAGTTTAAAAGCAACAATTGAATGCTATTACGTATAAAATCTTCTTGCTCCTTTATTCTTCGAATATCAGTGTGGCCAACCTGAGGAATTGCTTACCTAATTTATAAGAAATTGGGAAACACAATAGAAGATTCAATTCAAAAAGCGTATTGAGTACCCAAATCATAGTATCTTTTATCATGCACATGTGAGGAAGAGATGTGCAGGTTATAATGATGAAAAAGTCCACATTCTCTAAGGCTTTTCAATTTGCATCCACAAATTGACAAATGTTCCTGGTTTTATACTGTAGCATAGAGTTAGAAGAAACAGCATCAAAAAGAAAGCCAAAAATCTAACAGAATTGAAGAAGGAGTGGCTTAAAGTCACCTCAAATGAGAATAGAATTAGAGTCAGGAAAGGAATTGCTAAACTACTGTTATGGATTTAATTGTGTCCCCTAAAAGATATGTGGGAGCTCTGGTAGCATAGTGCCTAAGGCATTTGACTGATAACCAGAAGGCTGGTGGTTCAAACCCACCAGCCACTCCTCAGAAGAAAGATGGGGCAATCTACTTCTGTAGTGATACTGCCTCAGAAACCAAGGAGGGGTCGTTATGAGTCAGATTCTACTCGACACATAACAACAACAACAAAAGATATGTTGTAAATCCTAACCCCTATACTTGTGGTTAGGAGCTCTGGTAGCATAGTGCCTAAGGCACTTGACTGCTAACCAGAAGGCTGGCGGTTCAAACCCACCAGCCACTCCTCGAAAGGAAGGTTGGGCAATCCTACTTCCGTAGTGATACTTCCTCGGAAACCCAAGGAGGGGTCGCTATGAGTCGGGGCTGACTCGACGGCAAATAACAACAACAACATACTTGTGGTTATAATCCCATTTGCCAACGGGTTTTCTTCGTTATGTTAAGAAGACAGTATTAGTATAAGGTGTGTTTTAAGTCATCTCTTTTGAGATATTAAAAAGATTAAATAAACAAGTGAGCAAGCAGAGAAGGAGGAAGAGAGGCCAAGCAACTTGAAGATAGCTCAGGAGCAGAATCTCAGAGACACAAACCTTCCTCCAGAGCTGACAGAGAGTCAGCCTTCCCCTAGAGTCAGCACCCTGAATTTGTCCTTCTAGCCTTCTAACTGTGAGTAAATAAATTTATGTTTGCTAAAGCCACCCACTTGTGGTGTTTCTGTTATAGCAATACTAGAAAACTAAGACAGCTATGGAAAATAAATTTATATGGATAGTGGCAAGACTGCAATCATTCCAAATAAGTAAAATGAATAAAAATTTGAAATCTTCATTAATTCTATATGGAGGATACTGAATTATATTTTCTTTTTATGTTTTGGGCTTGGGATAGAAATGAATAAAAAAAGTTTCAAAAACAATATTGCTAAATTTCATGTAAAATTTATCATTTTCAATAGATGACCCTCTCTGGAGAGGATGGTACAGTGGCAATAACATGTCCTCAAAAGAAAAGTCATCAGACTTCTCATTTTTGCTTATTTTTCTTCTTATTAAAAAATAAGTTTGAGAATCAATGGATACCATTCCATTCTCTTAATATTTTTATAAAGAGTCCAATTGTTTTGCTACACTTATTTTACTTAGAATATTTAATACATTAACTCTTTGGTGTCAGTTATATTACATCTATTTTTCTTAAGGCCAAATCTAAAATTACCAGGAAAAATAAATATTAAAAAATTACTTTTAATATTTTATAATCTTCCTTGGGAAGGCATGGTTGGCAAAAAAAAAAAACATATAGCATGCACATTTGTATAAAAATACATTATATAGATTGTTCTTTTTTAAGTAGCAATAGCACAAATATACTAACAAACATTTTAAAGCAGAAATACTTTTTAACAAGGGGCATTTGAAGCAAGCTTCTTTTTGGAGGCTTATTTCTAAGTCTTCAGTCTGAAGCGTTATTTTTTAAATATGTAAGCATGTGGTTGTATAAATTAAAAAACGATGGTGTGTGAACATGAAAGCTTCAAGTCGGATCTCCACTCTCCATTTTCTTCTTTTTCTAATGCCCTTTATTTGACCAGGATGGATGTCATTTCCAAAAGTACTTGGAGAACCACATTTAACTTGAGCATCATTGTTCTTTCAGATTATTAAGGTAGTTCAATTTTCTCTGTTGGTTGCTACCCTGAAGATGGAGACTCTTCTGAAATGTCAGACTAAGAAAATTGCACTGGTTCCAACAAGATTTAAAAAAAAAAAAAAAGTAAAGCTTTGGAATTAATGTAATCTATAATCTTTGAAAACAAAGTTTAAAAGCAACAATTGAATGCTATTACGTATAAAATCTTCTTGCTCCTTTATTCTTCGAATATCAGTGTGGCCAACCTGAGGAATTGCTTACCTAATTTATAAGAAATTGGGAAACACAATAGAAGATTCAATTCAAAAAGCGTATTGAGTACCCAAATCATAGTATCTTTTATCATGCACATGTGAGGAAGAGATGTGCAGGTTATAATGATGAAAAAGTCCACATTCTCTAAGGCTTTTCAATTTGCATCCACAAATTGACAAATGTTCCTGGTTTTATACTGTAGCATAGAGTTAGAAGAAACAGCATCAAAAAGAAAGCCAAAAATCTAACAGAATTGAAGAAGGAGTGGCTTAAAGTCACCTCAAATGAGAATAGAATTAGAGTCAGGAAAGGAATTGCTAAACTACTGTTATGGATTTAATTGTGTCCCCTAAAAGATATGTGGGAGCTCTGGTAGCATAGTGCCTAAGGCATTTGACTGATAACCAGAAGGCTGGTGGTTCAAACCC